TGTACATATTTAATCAATATTTTAATTCTTACATAATGTTTTAGGAACTGCATCATTTTTCCGACTTTCTCCTATGGGACAATGACAGTATCTTTTGTACATAATACACAGTAGTTAACATGGGTTATTGAGTTCATTTCCTTTCTTGCTAAATAAAAGAGAAAAATTTTCTCCAAATTTTTAAAAATTGCAATTACCATATAGACATAACCAACTATGTCAAAAATTTACACAACACTAAGAGAGCCTATCCTGTGTTTGCTCCCCCAGCCAGCCCCACCATTATTCTATTATATGAAACACATTTGTTTTGAGGAATTTCTGACATCTTCTTAGTTTGTATTGTTCTTCCATATCTGTGCCTAGTTAGTTGGCAGGAAATCTAATTCCCCGGGAAGCATATTATCTGAAACTTACGATATGTATATGCCACGTGTAATTTTTTTTTCTAAATTTCCCCTCATCTTCTTTGTCGATACCTATTTTTAAAAGTCATTATTGCCTTCCAGCTGTCCAAATTTTCTTCTCACTTTTCTCTTAAAAACTGACTTAAAGCAGCAGGTCAATATCTCAGCCATCATTAATTTCACACCCTCCTCTTCTCATTTATTCACTGGTCTTTTTTCTCTTGAGGATCACTTTTTTCCTTGATACATTTATAAAAGACCTTCTTACTCCATCTAACCTCTTTTACTAGCAATATCTCATTTCCCACTTTTGCACTTCTTATCTTTCTTTGCTAACTTTAAGTTGTTCTGTCTATTTTTATATAGTTCCTGTCTTCTCCACTCCCAAGGCAATTGTCCTGTTATACATGGACCTTGAGCAGCCACTGGGGATGACAAACTGTATTTTTACTAGAATTTCTAGAGGCAGAGGGTACCTGCAGCCCTGTGCTTTCTTCAGTTCTCTTGCTGCTACAGTGCAATGGCTTAGACTGTATTGTCTTAGACTACTTCACACCTATCTATAATTATGAATCTTAATAATCTCATTGTATCATACATATTAGATTTCCTCCCAATGTGTTTTTCAACTAGGAATCATAGCTTGTAGTGTTGTTATCAATGATCACATTTCTAAATAGCAGTGGAGAGAATGGAAATGATTTAGTCTATAAGGGTGAGGTCATTTGCATACTTTTAAGTGATTTGCATGCTGGCACAGCCTGGAACTGGTTCAGAGGCTTCCCCACATTTCTCCCTTCATAACAAGGTGTAGCTTATTTTCCTCACTAAAAAACTGTCCTATATTTTCCTCTCTCATACCATTCTCTCCCACTAGAGAATAATACACACTAACACAAGCATGACATCGCCAGGTAGTCTCTATCTTCTGAGCTAATGTTCTCTTTGGCGTAATTCATCATCCCCTCTGATTTTTCAGGGCTGGTGACAATGGTGACTCCCCTAATATCTGAATGAAGTCCTTCATAAATATTTTGCTGAGTGATTGATATCTCATCTAGTTATCTTTCTTATACCTCTTCCCCTCCATATATAACAGATGAGATTCCATCACCAGAAGCAGATGTTGTGGAAACAGTATCAGGAGCCCAGAAACCCTCGTTCTAGCCCCAACTCTCCCATTAACTATCTCTGAGATCTCCACGAGTTACTTAACCTCTCTGGGCCTCCAACCTCCCTGTAAACTGAAGTTGAAAATGTCTTCTTCAGAGGCTTACCAGGTAATTAGAAAAGATGTATATAAAGATATATATACCAAAGCACTTGATACTGGGATTCTTGATACCTCAGCTAAATCAGGTTAACTTTCCAAAATCAGATGAAATATAGATTATTTTCTGTTTCACCCATCCCCCTTGTTAGCTTCTCATAATAATAAGCAAACACACTTCTAGGAAGGTCCGTTATATTTTGAGAAATTACTAATGGTGACCTGTCAGATATTGAACAAAAGAATAATTTTAACCACTCCCACCTCCATCCCCATCCATGTATCATTAGCAACCACATTCTCCACCTTTATTTGTATAACTTAGGAGGGACCCTGCAGGGAGAAGCAAGGCTCTTGTTTGATTTCTGACTGAACCTCATTCATTGAAGTAAGGTGTCAGGGCTGCCTGTGGATCTGGAAAGCATTTTGGAAGTAAGAAGCAGACAAATGTAAATCTTTTAAACCCCTATGATAAGCAAACTCTCCTCAGTTCAACATATAAATATAAACATTAAATCAAATCAGATGCTTATACATTTTTTAAACCCATCATAAAACATTTTGTTTTGACAGCTTGGTAATGTAAAGTAAAAACACTGACAGCCAAAAGAATTAGCATCTTTGCCTGCCTACTACCTGAAAGTCTTTCCTGTATATAAATAGAAAAAAAAAAAGAGAGAAAAAGTATGTTTATGTAAAGGGAAACACTGATTTACTAGAACTGATTGCTTCATAGTCTAATTACTTTTCAACTGGCTGTTCCAAATTAAGATGTCATTGATGGCTTTTGGTGATATATTTCATTTTAAGCAAATTTATTCTACAATGGAGTACATCATAATGGAAAGCAGAGTTCCTACTCTTCCCTCCTCTTTTGTAGCCTGATATCTTGACAAGTAAATTAAATTTAGCAGTTAAAATGCTTCCATTAGTAATTTTATTAAGTTAATTAAAGAATCTCTCTTTCTGAATTTTAACTACCTTCCTTTCAGAACAATGTTGATTTCTTTTTTTCTTTTTTTAATTTCATGTGTTTAGGGACTGTGATATATTCTAGGACCAATCAACAAGTCTATCAGGATTACATTTCTGTGGGCAGGATTCTACCAAGAAAATCAAGTAAAAGGAAAAAAAAATAGCTCAAAAGTCTTTGAAAGAGATGGTCTGTTTCATATCACAGAAGAACTAGGGTTTTAATATCTTTTAAAAAGGGAAGAAGAGGAGGAGAGGAGAAAAAGAGTAAACCAAAAACACACTTTTTGGGCTATCTATGTTCCCAGGGAAAGGCGGAACTCCTAAGTAGTATATCCATACAAAGAGGGTAAATCATGAATACCTCAAGTAGAGTGTAGTTTATAGATGGAAAGAGAAGAACTACAGCTCTTTTCTTCTTACTCAGTAAGTGTGCAAGCAGTACTGAACAAGATCCTGAAGCTGCTAAAGCACATGTTAAATGAAACCTTGGGCCCTCTCAAGAATGTGGCATTTTAAAAGAAGTTAAACATTTCTAAGAGATTTAGGGTGAAAGAGTTGTCTCATTGACCATTAGCTGTTTCTTGTGGTTGGTGTTCCTGAGGAATCACAGAAATGATTTCTAGAACTAGAAAGGAGCATTGAGAAAATTTTATCTTATCCTCCCATGTTAAAGATGAGGAAACTGAGGACAAGGGATTAGTAACATCACCACCCTGAGAATAATAATAGCAACTCTAACAATAGTGACTGATATTGATTCAACTCATCACTGTGAAGCTTCACATACATTATCTCATTAAAAAGGCCAATGACGGAGATTCTTCTAATGTCCCAACATTATAGATATGAGAAATAATGCTGAATGAAGATTAAGTAACTTGTGTAAAATCTGTATGACTCCAAAGTCCTATGTTCATAACTAGTGCACATCTTTACCTAGGATGAACAACTAGAGTTCATTCAACTAGTTAGTGGTTCCACTAACTAGACTAAACACCAGTTTCTCATGTTTGCTCTTTACAAAGTTGGCCATATTAAGAGAATGGGAAATCTGGTAGTTAAGCTGAAGCTTGGGCATTGAGAAGACACTATGATTTATTTTAAAAGAAATCCCATTGCCAAAGTGCCCAGGGGAATATTTGCTTTATGAATAAAATGAAGGTTGCAGCCATGTGTTCAGACCCAAAGTGACATTTTATTTAAAATTAGGGGATACCACCTGTTACTCATTCATTGAGGAAACGGAGATCCAAGAATACAGCCCATAGCAATTTCTATTTACATCTCACACCTTCTCTCATTTTCTAATACTTTGAGCCTATCAAATAGTTCACTCTGGGAGCTCACATGCTCACTGTCCAATCTCCATCATTCCTCTCAAAATCACTTCCACCACCTCCTCAAATCCTCATGTTATATTCTTGCTCAGTACAGTCTTTCACATGCCCACCTCAGGCATCCACCCCAACTGCTGCCCTTTTTCTCTGGGGGGACTGAATGCCTTCATAGCTATGTCCCAAGCTCACCACTTTTCCATGGGGCACCATGGCTTTTTTTCCTTTCTATCCTTGCCCCATTCTTTAGATTCTGTTTCAAAATAAAAGCCCAAGAAAGGAATCTGGCAACTTATAGATGCTTCCTGGCAGGACAGAATAGATGATGCCATTAAACTACTTAATAGGCCAGATGAGAGAAAAATCTAAGACCACACATTATATCTATATCTATATCTATATCTATATATCTATATCTATCTATCTATATATATATACATCTATCTATATCTATATATTCCTTCCCTCCTTTTTTACAACTGGAAAAAATTAAAAAGGCAGAATGCAGATGCCTACCCCAGATGACTTTTGTATATTCTTGAGAGCCTGCTGTACTTTTTCTCCTTTCCCTTCCTTCCTTTTATTTTCTTTCTTTTTTTTTCTTTCTCCCAACATCAAGATAAACAAGGTTTAAGAGCTTTATTGCCCTTTGCCCCTAATTTGATCCCTTGTCATCCTGGAGATAGGTTTTCAAGATGGCACGCCACAGTTTCTGAAGCACAAGAAATTGGTAAACGTCTCTGGGAGTATTTTTTTGTGGAGGATGTTCCCTTTACTAAGCATACTGCTCCTCTAAAATGATGTCCTTAGAAAGAATCTAGCATTCCACAATATTTCTATAATTAATAGCTAGATGGACTCAGAGAAAAAAGAAAGTGGATCATCTGGTATGTTTTTTTAATTAGAAATGATCCTCCCTGCCCTGAAAAAGAATGCTACCTTTAGCCTAGAAGCATAATTTGTATATACCTGACCACATAACAAACATGTTTTTATTAGAAATTTACCTCTTACCTCCTTGATACCTTGCCATTCACATTCTATCTATTCTTTGGTGAGGCTCTTTTTCAATTATTCTGAAGATCCTGTTGTTTTTTTATATGGCATTCAAGTCCAGTAGTGAAATCTGTTTCATATTTGTAATCAGTTTTCAGCTCTGGAAGAAGGCCAAATTGGTAAGTCCCTGTGAGTGAAAAAGAAAAAAAAAAAGAAAACACCAGAATTTAGTTATACAACCTGAGCTTATAAAAGATGAGGGAGAAGAACTTGCAAAACATCCTCTCCTTTAACCCCAGTCATTTTGGCCCCGCTTTTAACCTGGGGAGTGACCAATTAAATGTGCAAAACCAAAAAAGAGCCATTGGGATTGTGAAACTATGTGGCAAAATCCTCATTATTAATCACATCGAAGGAAGAATGTGTGATTTTAAAATAAAATATCAGGGAAAGATGTAACAAGTTTGATGCAATAGGTATAGTTAGACCCAGATGTGAAAGATTTGATAAGCTTCTTCTTACTTGTCCTTCACCCTGGAAGCTTCTGAAGAGGCCTGAATATCTGGCTTAAAGTGAGTGATGCTACTTGAAATGAAAAGCAAGGAGATTGCAAATCACTCTTCTGCACAAGCTTGCAATAAGCTATGGCATGGCTGATGGACAGATTCAGGTATTTAAGTGAGTGTGATTTCTAAGCAACAATTTCTAAACCCTACATTGTCGTTGATCTCCATCACGCGATTGGACATGTTTACGAAGGCACATGCAGTGGAATGAAATGCACTGGGAAAAATGCTGAAGTCATTTTCCACCACCACAGCTGTATTACTGCAAAATGAAGCCATATTATCCTGATCAGCAATAGACACCAGCTTCACACCCTTCTTCTGGTTAATAGTCTGAGTCCATTCCAGCAGAGAACCTTTCTTTTTCAGGAGTCCCAGCTATGGGTTTGGTTGGAGGAAGGTAATCTAAAGTGTATTCTTACATAAGGCTAAGAAACAAAAAAGGATGTGAAGAAATGGTACAAGACTATACTTTTGTCTTTTCCATTTATTCCTCTCTTTCTTTCCTTCTTAAAGGCAAAGACATGATAAAGATAAAAATTGCCCCAAACAAGTTTGATTGGTCGAAAAGCAAAAGCAAAGTACTCAAACAGCAGCCTTTTAAATCAAACACAATTAACTGTACCTTGAAATATATGTTCTACAATTGTATGTTCAATTAAATAGCTAAAAACAATTTGTAAAAGTTGAAAACCTCAATTGCACACTGAAGTTACATAGGTCTGTTCAGAGTCCCTGCTTCTTCACAAAGGCCCAAGATAAGTTACTTCTTCAAACATTAAAAGCAGAAATTTTCATTGTCTAGTAGACACTCATAGAAAGCTTTATTGTCAATTAAATCAAATATTTGTATTGGACCTTTTCTTAAACCTTGTCAGAGAGAAAAAGAAAACACCAATAAAAAAACAAACTGTTTTTCATGATTATCAGAGCACTGGCTATCTCTGATCCAGCCCCACTTTGTCTCTATTGCCCATTGGAATCATTTCTGTGCATTCTACTTCATCCGTTTCTAAGTTATAGTCTGTGATATATTTCATACATATAAGCAGTTTAACCTAGGCTGGTTGAGGCTATTTCCATTTCAACCACTGATGAAAAAACAGTATTGATAACAGCCAGAGCACAGCAATCTACAATTATAGCCATTCCAATTGCTTGCAACCTAGTGGTGAAATTTTTCACATTCCACTTACACACATCTATTAGACTATAAGATACTCCAAGGCAGAGACCATCTTCATCTTTAAATCATCACAATATCTGCTATAATATTGGGTATATTGATCTCAAATGATGAAATAACAGAAGGAATGAGTGAGTGAACGAATGAGTGAAGGAAGCAGGGAATTAATATTTAAATACAGGCAACGATTATTTGTGTTATAGTTGCACTATACTGAGAACTGTCTGGAAGAGTTTTCAGAGTGCGACAGAAAAAGCTTGGCTGACTATTCTTGGAGAACACGTTGACTGTTTGTTGGATGGAGACAGTTCACCAAGAAAGCAGATTTTGACCCTTCAAGAACTTGAATGTGATGATGAGTTTATGACAGTTCTAAAAGCCAACATACGGTCGGTGGCCAGATTGTGGTTCTGGACTGAGAGGCTTCCATTTGGAAGGCAGACAAGCATTTGAATTATGGGTCTAATGAAAGTGTCAATAGCAATCCTGTTACTGGAGGAGTTGTAAAACCCTGCTTAATGAACTAGGCAGGGACACAAAAACACAATGGTCTAAAATGTACTGTAGGAGAAAATGATAATTAGCCCAGATTTCATGTACAAGATAAAATGCATAGGGATGATATTACCACTGAGCAATATTATAGCCCTTCAGGGGACTCTTTTGTTAACAGGGTTTGGCTCAGCCTTTTCAATCCTCCTTATATGAGTGGAGATGTACGACACACAATCATGAGCTGTGAGTTGGGGAAAGATGTCAGATGGTAAAATTCCTCTCATAGATGCTGACAAACGTTAATGACAATAAAAAGAGTTCTGGCCTCATTAAGGGTTCATTGTTATTTAGGAGGCTTATGCAATATGGGATGATATGCCAAATGGCTTCCTGCACAAGAAAAATCAGGGTGAAAGGAAAGTCATTCCCTGATCTTGAAGTTTACTTTTCTAGACCACCAATCATCAGCCAGGAAAGTAAGGCAAGATGAGGCCAGACCTACAGTGAATAAGTGGGCAATAGCCTCCTACTTTCACTGTTAAGAGTGAGAGAGCCACTGAGGTAGCCCTGAGTACAAAAGAGAACTTTGAACTTGGAATCAGGAGACTGAGACTCTAGTTTTAGCCTGCACTAACTCTCAGTTTGAACTTTCTCATCTCTTAAAAAAGGGGTGGAGGTGGCTTGGAGTGGCACTTCAAGAACTCTGAATGGCTTAAGAAATCATCTGAGGATTCTGTTAAAATATGTATTCTGATTTTGTTGGTCTGGAGTAGATCTGAGATTTTGCATTCTTAACAAGCTCCCGAGTTCTGCTGATGCTGCTGGCCTATTCACTGCAATATGAAGAATAGGTGACCAGATAACTATTTCTCAACTTGCAAATTCTTTTTTTTTTTTAAAGATTTATTTATTTATTTGAGAGAGCAAGAATGAGAGAGAGAGAGAGTACATGAGAGGGGAGAGGGTTAGAGGGAGAAGCAGGCTCCTCGCCGAGCAGGGAGCCCGATG